GGGCCCTCGGCTCTCCTGGAAATACACGGCTTCAGCTGAGGGAGCAGGTGCTGGGTGTTCCTCCTGTGCCCTGGGTTTATGCTTGGCAATGCCATCCGGGCGGGACAGGGGAGACGCTGAGGGAGCGGTAACAATGAATGTTTCCTGCCATCTGTTTGCAACTTGGCTTACTTTTGGCTGTTGCTTGCAGATTTACATCAGCTTGTTATTGTCAGTTCTAGAAGAAATGTCTCTAGAAAAACTCCCTATGTGTGTATGTATATATGAAAAGCACTATGACAGTGAAAGTTTGAGAGTAAATATCACAAGAATTTAATTGTCATGTATGTTTGTGCATGTAGTGCCTCAACATGTGTGGCGGATAAATTTGGATACTCCAGAGGAAGCACATCAAAATCTCTCTTTTGGCGCAGCCGATCGCTGGTGGGAGCAAACAGATCTAACCAAGCTGATACTTGCCTCAAACAAACTGGAGTGTCTTTCGGAGGATGTCAAGCTTCTGCCTGCACTCACTGTTCTGGATGTAAGTACAGCGATTCCATTATGGTAGGACTGTGCTCTCTCTGCAGGAGGTGGGAAAACATGATCTTAGATCTTTGTTTTCCATTTCCCTGCAGTGGTGGATGTGTAGCAGCAGCATTGGTGTATTCTCAGGGTAAAGAAAAGATTGTTACAAATCACTGATAGTATGCAACTTTCTATGCTGGTAGCGGGTACTGTTCTGTAGAAAGGTCTAGGAAGTTTCATTCTGGACACTGAAGGAAGTGGATGGATTATTACTGGATGCAACCACCTTTCCTGCACCATACCCCACCCCGCTTCTTATGTAATCTCTTAGCATTTACTAGCAATTCAGTAGAATTTTGCCCGGTTGGCAGTTGCAGTGCTGCTATTAGTAATTGCACTGAGGCATGTACATAGCTGTTACTCTTACACAAAAGTATTCCGTGTATTAGGTTAGCTTGATTTGTTTCTGGGGTAGGGAAAGAAAACCTACAAGGTACAAATTAGTAACTGCATTCTAAAACCTTTATTTTCCAGGTGCATGATAATCAACTGACATCGCTTCCTTCTGCTTTAGGACAATTAGAAAATCTTCAGAAACTTGATGTCAGGTAAGTACATGGTACAAAACTGGAACATGAACAATATTGCAGTGACTTTCACAGTGTGAGTATATTGCAGTATATAAAATTTTCTTTCAGAAAATTAATTTCAGATTTTTAACTAGAGAATATTAGTATATTGAGAATCGCAAGTTTTGGATCAAACCTGATGATCTTGGGTTTGTTAAAATTATTTTCACTGATACTGATAGTCACACTCTTGCTTGGAATCTGAAAACAGTGGTACTTCAAATAGTCACACGAAAGCAGTATCTACATTCATGTGCCTCAGTCTGTCAATTTTGTTTTAAAGGAACAAAAATACTTTTCGTCATGAATAATACACTTCGGGAAGGAATAATTGTATAGATCTTGTTCATGCTGGAAAGTTCATGTTCTTCTGTTTACTGGAGTAATTTTGTAAATTTGTGCACAAGGAGAAAGAGGGTATGCTGCCACTGTGTGTGTGAACTATATAAAATAAAAGAACGCAAGGTCCAGCTGGAATATTGTAAATTCAGATGAGGATTAGAAGTATTCTTGAACAAATAAACAACCGTAATTAATTTCTACTAGGAAACTAATCCATTGTGGAGGGCTGTAGTGGTTGTAGGAGACAGATTTTTTTCTTAAAAGTGACAGTATCCTGAGCAGCAAGCATACATGTATGCTGCAGTGTGGGAATGTTTTGCAAAAGCCTGCAGGCGTAATTAACAGTTTGTCTGTGCCAACAGGGGATATCCAGTGTGTCTGATGCTGGATGTGCTTTGTACTTGCTCCTGGGTCTGAAGAGTTTGTGTTTCAACAGGCTGTGTGTGGCTCCGATAATCCACCTGATACAAGTGTTGTAACTCTAGTTTGGATAGCATCATATGTAACAGAAGTGTTCTTTATGCAGTTACGTTCTTAAGACTACTTAGTAATTGTTTTTTCCCTTTGTGTTCCATGTTTTAATACTAGCCACAACAAACTGAAAAGTATCCCAGAAGAGCTGATGCAGTTGTCACATTTGAAGAGCCTTCTTCTTCATCACAATGAACTGAGTCACTTGCCGGATGGATTTGGACAGCTTGTCAATTTAGAAGAATTAGTAAATTACAACTTTTTGAAAAATTTATTTGTGCAGAAAGGCTGTTTTATCCATGTTTTGCTACTGCTAATTAAAAAAACCCCATAGCTTAGATGGCAGAACTTTGTGTAATGACTTATTTAGGTTGTCAGTTATTACATGGTGTATTTTTTGGTGTGGTTTCTTTTTTTTTTTGAAACCAAGTTTTGCTCTTGGGTTTGCCAAATATTTAAAGAAAAATCAAATCCCTTGTGAGCTCTCAGCCATGGGAGACTTGTTTCTTCCATTCACAGTTCTACCAGGGAGATCCTGAAGATGTCAGCCATCTAATTTTAATGTTCTGCCAGTAATTAAATTTGCCGTAGCAGTACTCACGGGATATTTTAAACATGTCTATTTCTAACCTCTCTTTGCCTCCTGTCTCTCTTTTTTTAATCTTCAGGATCTGTCCAACAACCATCTCACAGACATTCCAGCAAGTTTTGCTTTGCTCATTAACTTAGTGCGACTCAATTTGGCTTGTAATCAACTCAAGAACCTGCCTGCAGATATCAGTGCGATGAAAAGTAAATTAGTTTCCTCAGATTATTAAATGCCATATAGCCAGTTCTGTAGTTATGTTCAGAAATGAAGCATGTATTGTTTAGGATTTAAAAAATATATTCTTAAGGAGTTACTGTACTCTCAAGGATATTAGTTCAGAGTTATTTAAAAAAATCAGCTACAGCTACTGTATATCAAACTTGAGTCCTCTTACAGTTCGTATTTCTTGATAAATGGGACACAATGATCAGAAAAATGTACGGATTAATATCTTCTTCTGCTTAGAAGTTGTTAGCCTCAAGACTGCAATAAGCAATTTGAGAATTTTTTTTTCTTATTGTATATTTTGTGTGGCAAATAAAGCATAAATGCGAGTTGAAATTTTTGAAGAGAAAAAACCCATAAAGTAGAGAGTGCTAAAATTGAATTCTAATATTTGAATGTTAAATATCAAGCTGACTAGTGGTTGATATGAAAGGCATATTTTAATAGCTGTCACAAGTCTACAGGAACAGGTGGTAGACTGCCAGCTTTTGTAAATGCTAGAGAAATTACCTGCAGATATTTCTGAGATGGTCTACCATATTAGACCCTTTCTTGTTCCCTCCAGTCCCGTACTTTAAACAAGAGCTAGTAACTGGCAGTGTCGTTGAAAGCATTCCAGAATGTCCTATGAAGAACAACTGAAAAGCGGATGTCTTGTTTTCAGAAATGCTGATGCTGATTTGATTTTTTCCAAAATTCTGATTGTCAAAAATGTTACATTTATTATAAAAACCAAGATATTTATGCTTCTGTAGAAAACAACTTTTACCTTTTTTTTTCCCATTTGTCGCTTGCACGCTTACTTCTATAGGCTTAAGACAACTGGATTGTACTAAGAACTACCTGGAAACTGTACCTTCGAAATTGGCAACTATGGCATCTTTAGAACAACTTTATCTGAGAAAAAATAAATTACGTTCCTTACCAGAATTTCCCTCATGCAAATTACTGAAGGTAAGGTTTGAAACGGTTGGTATACTGTAAACATATTTGCTGTAAACTTAAAATAATAGCTGTTACTTCAAATTTTTGTGAATTGCTGTGATCAAAAGTTTATAGTTCTGTCTGTAGAACTCTATTTAATACATCCCCATTTGCAGTTGCTCTTATTGTGCACATTGGTCAATTTTAAGGTTACTTGGAAGACAAATTTCCAGCAGTACTTTTCAGATTTGGAAAATAAAAGAAATATTGAGGAGAGGAAAGACTGGAAAACTAGATCTAATATTGCCTGCAACAGTTTTTTATCTCTAGGAACATATTCTGGATAAATTTACTTTGTTCACTATAATTTTTTTCTTTGTAACTGCGGAGTATACATTTTTTTTTTCCTTTTAGCATAGTCAAATCTTTCTAGTGTTTTGTAGCCTTAATTCCTGATATGTTTAAAATTGAAAATCACCTACCTCAGAACATCAGAAATTTCTTACTCTTAACAGAAAAATGATTTGGCCAACTGAATGCCTGTATCACTGTGTTGTTTCCAATGACCAAATCCATCAAAGAATGCAGATACCATCTTAGTTCTGCGTAACTCTGAATTCAGCAGTTTCAAGCTATTTCAGCATTTTCTAACAAAATGCGTGTTAATATGTGAAGTACAGTCTCTTGAGTGTGTCCAGCAGTATGTGTACACTCTTTGTGGTCTAAAGAACCATTAGATTTTTCCTTTACAAGTGAAACATTTCCAACAGGGACATGGAGACCTGCCCTCTATTCCTATAACTTGGAATTTAAGAAACTTCTTGAGCAAATAAGTTGTTGACAAGTTCTTGAGAAATGCAGAGCAAATTTATTCCAAGCTTGGAAATGGAACTCAAAGCTGAGGGTTCTGTGATGGCTTCAGAAAAGCTAAGTTCAGACTTGTGTCTCTGGATCTTTGGAGGCTTTGATAGATGCTTCATATGCCAATGAAAGGGAATCAAGATCTGTATTTTCTCCACGTCACCATACGTTTTTGCCAGTGCTATGGTTTAGGAGATTAGTAAGTTACAACGTAATGTTACTAGAGTAAAATAATTGTAGGCGATCTTTGTTTCTGTAGGAATTACATGCTGGTGAAAATCAGATTGAAATATTAAATGCAGAGAATCTGAAGCATCTGAATTCCCTCTCTGTATTGGAACTTAGAGACAACAAGATAAAATCAGTTCCTGATGAAATTACTCTGCTTCAGAAGCTGGAGCGACTTGACCTCACCAACAATGATATCAGTAGGTAATGTTAAAAACTGCATTAATTCTGTGATGAGACATAGCTAATGACATTTAATTCTACAGCTGATGTATTTCACTTCGTAAAATGTAACTTAAAAAAGGCTCAATCATAAAATGAAGGAACCATTTCTATATGGTGTAAATGCTATGATGAAACTCTGCCTTTCTTAAACGTAATATATTCTGTATCTTTTTATTTGAACCTGAGCTTCAGAGTGCCAGGCCATCTGACAAACCATTGAAATTCTTTAGAATTTGTTTTTAAGCTGCTTTGAAATGAGTTGTTTCCATTTGCAGATTGCCGTACACACTGGGGAACCTTCCTCAGTTGAAATTCCTGGCATTAGAGGGAAATCCTTTGAGAACCATTCGAAGAGACCTTCTGCAAGTAAGCACTGTAGATGGTGTATAAAGTTTGGTTATGTTGCACGTCTACGTTATCCAAATTGTGTAGACAAAACATTTAAATTACAAAACATCCAGATTACAAGTAGCCTGTGCAACTTAATCCATCTCCCTTGTTTGTATCTGTTGCGGCTTTCTACTGGAGTCTGATGCAGTGCATAGGATCATGAGGATTGTGGAATAAAGGAGGTTCTTGCTTTATAGGACCCGTTTCTGATTTGCTACAGATGTTATAATCTATATTGCAAATGAAGCAATGGATGTCTGTGAAGAAAAGGATAAGGCAGCAGTCATCTGTCTAATCCTGTTGCAATTACAGTTCATCGCAGTGCGAGGCGAGTACTTTACATCAGGCTTTTCCTAGATGAGCATGGATTTCTGTTTTTAATTTCCTATTTGCCTGAATTAAGGATCTAAGATTCAATTTCCAAAGGGTATTTGGTGGCAGGTGCATTTTGAGCAATGCAAATCTGATGTACTACGTTTTCTTAACGGATAAGAAAACCTTCAGCCTTCCAGTACCTGAAGGGCACCTACAAGAAAGCTGTAGGGGGACTTTTTACAAGGCCATGTAGCGATAGGACAAGGGGCAATGGCTTTAAACCAAAAGAGGGTAGATTTAGAGCAGATACAAGGAAGAAATTCTTCACTATGAGGGTGGTGAGGCACTGGAACAGGTGGCCCAGAGAAGTTGTGGCTGCCCCATCCCTGGAAGTGTTCAAGGCCAGGTTGGACGGGGCTTTGAGGAACCTGGTCTAGTGGAAGTTGTCCCTGACTTGGAACTAGATTATCTTTAAGGTCCCTTCCAACCCAAACCATTCTATGATTCTGTAACCTCAGATCTGTGTTCTCTCTGTGGGTAACCAGCAAAGTGAAAGTGTGAATTGTGCATGAGAAGACAAGTACATGGAGCAGCAGGGAGGCTGGAGTGCAGGCACTACTGCTGCTATAGAATTCCCTTTTATTTTTTCCCCAGGAGGCCCCTCTTCTTGTTGGTGGTATACATTACTTCTTTCTGTGCTTTTGCCAGCACTGGGATTCTCTAAAAATAAGCAACAATTTTCAGATCTGTTGAAATGAAATTCTGAAGTATCTGTCCGAAGAGGGAAAATGTTGTGTATCTGATTAAGTGAGCATTGCATGCGCTAAATTAATGAGCAGGGGTTCCATGGATGGAAGTCATACATGATTCCAGAGCTCAAAGTTCGCTTAAAATGTACGTGCAAAGCAGTCTGAGTTAGGGTTGCCTGGATACTTTAGTTCTGGTATTCCCTAGCTTCTGAGGATTCGCAGTCTTTCAAATATAGGAGCATAAATGTGTGTAATGCGACATTTTATACTTTATTGTCTTGATCCATTACCAACACTGTAAATTCATATAATAGGAATTTTATATGGCTATCTAGATTTTTTTTTTTACACTTGATTTAGAGGAGTAATTGATAAATCTTGTAGGGTTCCGCAGGCACTTCTTAGCAGCAAGTGAATATTAAGGATTAAGAGATTAAGGATTGGCAAGGACTGGTGTGTAAGTATAGTCTAGCAGGCACAGATTCTTCTTTTGTCCATCACCGCTCCGTCTCATCTTTTCCTTTTCCTCAGACCTCTCATTCAAGTTCAAACCCATTCTTGTTTCTTGATAAATTTCCAGTTGTCTTCTGTTAAATCCTAGTCTCTGCTTTTTGCATAACATACCGTCTCCTGGCTGTTGAGCTTTGTCTTATGGTCTGCTTTCCTCTCCCCGCCAGCCACGTGGCTGTTACTCAGCTTTCTGTTTGACCTTCACCCTTTACTTAGAGGTGTCCAGGTTCTTCCTTATTTCCTTCTCTTGCTGTGCTCAGCTCAGCACATGCCCGTCTAGCTGTGCCTGCAGTCAGTCCCAGTCTCCTCTGGCCTCTCTTTCTCAGTCTTTTGTCTTCTGTTTTGGTTGTCTCACCAGGTTCCTTGTGGGAATTCCTTCCTTTCACACTTCTGTTAGCCCCTTTGCATTCAGATCAGTCAGTCCCTTACTGTGTGTAGTATAGTTGTCAGCTAGAATGAGAAATGTTAATTCATATTCAGCGCTTCAGGTCAGTCTCTGGTTTTAAAGCATCAAGGAGAAGCATGTGAAACAGTAAGGGAAACAAAGCTTTATCCTAAAACAAATGGGATGGATGAGATTATACTTAATTACTCAGAGATTATGCAGATAGTAACCGTCTTTGGCCAGTAGAAGTTTCTATGAGAGGATTGAAAGTCAAATCTTTGGACAATCCAGCTGTTAAAAATCCGTGCAAATTATGTAAACCACGGTGTTTTTCCCAGAGTTTATAATTTTGGACATAAAAAGTTACGGAACATTGTCAGCTTCTTTGACAATACTAAATTTCTTCTCCAAAGCATAATTGTTTTAAACCTTTTTAAAGAGAAGATTAAGTATTTGAACATTTTTTCATTGCTATTGGAACTAGCTAAGTATTTTAGATAAAACCTAAAAATGTGGAACCTGAGGTAGTGACACGAGATTGGAAATTTTCAACTGGAATAAACAAACAAAATTGTAGATAAGCGAGTTCATAAGCTGCTGAGAAAAGGGTTTTTCTATGGAAGCATTAGGTGGCTTTTATAGTCAGCAGTGCTATGGGCTCCACCTGTGTGAGTGGAACTGTCATTCGTCATTGTCAGAGAGCTGTATAAACACTGGCTGGCAAATGCTTATTGACTTTTTTTTTTTTCCTTTTTTTTAAAGAAAGGCACTCAGGAACTTCTGAAATACCTAAGAAGCAAAATCCAAGGTATGTTGCTACGTTGCACTACATTTTAAAGAGAATCTTTCTAAGAAATTAAAATACCCTACAGAGAGTAGCTGTTACAATCCAGTTTCCTTCTGTTATCCTGCAATAATAGAGTTTTCTTTACTCAACAGTTTGCTCTTATATTTCTTTTTCTTATTCTGTTAGATAATACCAAATAAGAAACATTCTTGAAGATTATAATGTAGAAAACCAATTTTGAGTATTTTTTCTCCTGGTCCCTGTGTGCATTTTGCATGAGGAATTCCAGTAGCTTTTTTAATTTTTCTCCTGAACATCACGGGAGGTTTACATAAGGGGTTCTTCTTTTTAAGCTTGCCGTCTGTCTGCTGGCTTGGTCACAGTATAGAAGAGTAGGTGAGCTTTTGCAAAGGTATTATGTATTACTCATTCATGTAATGACATGGGTACAGTCACAGAAATGATTGCCAGAAAGTACGTGCATGAAAAAGTCTGCCTTAAAGTCTTGGTGATGCCATGGATTCTACCACGTAGCTGACTAAGAATATAAAAAGTTTTGGGGGAGAAAGTAACTTGATTATTTTAAACATCATTCTAATCCTGGCCTGTTAGAATTCATCTTTCTACTAGCTAATAGTCTTGATCCTAACATTCCCTATAGAAATAATTAAAAAGTCACAAAGCAGAAAATCAGGTGAAATATTTCATTCACAGGGATTAGCTCTCTGCGCAAATGCTGTATGGTTTTCGCAGAATCCTCTCGGATTCAAAGCTCTGCCTCTGTGGATTAGAAAGCACCTAGGTGATTCTGTATCACATTTCTCTTAACATCTCTTAACAGATGCAGTACTTTGTAAAAATGAACTGATCGTATTAAAAAAGCAGACAAAAAGTTGCTAGTTGCTTCTGCACACTCAAGTCACTTTCCAGATTGATACCTGGGCTTCTAATTCACTGAGATATTTTGACTTTTTTTTTTCTCTTCTCACTATCTCACAAAATAGTGGAGATGACAGTTTATTTTTTATTGTAGAGGAAGCAGACTGTCAGAGTCTTTAAGTAACGTGCATGCTGAGAAGATGAAATCCTTTCAAAACAGGACTTCAGTTTACCATCTTTAGAAATCTTTATCTTTTTAAAGTTTTAAAACATAAAGTAGGCAAAAAAACTGAGCTCACTGGTCATGTTAAATACAATATGGAAATCATTACGCTGCGCTTAAATGGCAAAAAATGCTTAACTTCTAAATGCTAAACTTCGTGGTTTAGCCCCAGCCAGCAACTAAGCTCCACGCAGCTGCTCGCTTACTCCCCCTCCCCCAGTGGGACGGGGGAGAGAATTGGGAAAAAACTCGTGAGTTGAGATAAAAACGGTCTAATAGGACAGCAAGAGAGAAGGAAACAACAATGATGACGACAATAACAATACTGACAAAGAATGCACAAGAAAATTGATTCCCAATGCAGCAATTGCTCACCACCCGGCGATCGACAGCCCGTCCCCGAGCAGCGATTTCTGCCCCCCGGCCAACTCCAGTTTATGTACTGGGCATGACGTCGTATGGTAGGGAATATCCCTCTGGCCAGCTCAGGGGTCCCGGCCGTGCCCCCTCCCAGCTCCCCGGGCACCCCCAGCCTGCTCGCTGCAGGCCAGCACGAGGAGCTGGACTGTCCTTGACTGCTCAGCAACAACCCAAAACATCAGCACATTATCAACAGTTTCTCATTCCAAATCCAAAACATTCCCTCACGTACCTTCTGTGAAGAAAACCAGCTCCATCCTGGCTGAAACCAGGACAACTTCTTAATTTAGAAGGGACCTTGATAATACATGCAAGCAACTTTTATTGAAAATGGTATGTGAGAATTTTCCTTTTTAAGTGGGTTTTCTCTCCGTCTGCCAGAGGATGGCAGTATTAATTAGGTTACTGCAGCGTATAAAATTGCTTCAAAATGTCAGGTTCCATGCAAATCTGACATATTATTGACAAAAATTAATTGGATGCTAGAGTACATACTCGGAAGCTTATCTGGTGAACTATAATAGATGATATAATTATGGATAATAAAATTAGCTAAAGTCTTGCATTTACAGCAATGCTTATGATTTTACACCCCCAGTTATGGCATCTAAGTTGGAGCTGAACCAGTAGCAGTCCTGTTTCTGTAGAGGTTTAAACTGGAAAAAGTCCTCCTCTTTCTTGTTTTTAGCTTGTTTTTGACTCTTTTTGACCTTTCTTAATGAAAGGATAACTAGTTGTGGTTAGGTGCAGTTGTTAGTAGGCTTTTATTCATGAATGCTGCTGGATTTCCATAGGGTTCTGTTCAGTTTCCTTGAGTGGAAGTTGGATTTATCATGTGTTTGGAATTTTAGCTAAGCTTCACCTTACTTAGGCATATATGAATCCTTAGGGTGCGATGCCGCACCTCAGGTGGGCAGAACAACGCTTTTAATTTGCATTTCTTGAACAGTCACAGAGGCAACACCAATAGCTTTTTTGTGCGGATTGTGGATAGTAATCAAAAGGAACACTATAGTGGGTATGATGGTTTCTAAATGTTAATGTTTTAACTAAAATTGTGGTCGGACTTTCTGTCCTGGATATAGGTGGATCTGGATCATCATTTCTAGCCCAACTTCCCTGTTGATCATTGTTCCTAGCTTCCCACCCCTTGCAGCCTACTGCCTAACATAACAGCTAGCTACCGCTAGCATAACATCTCTGTTGCTTCCTGATCTTTTTTTTTTGGAAATCCAAGTCAACCCCTCTCCTCTCCCCCGCCACAAAAACCCAAAAAAACCCAAACAAACAAAAAGCCAGAAACCCAAGATTAAAAAAAACCTTACTAGAAGATTCTTGAAATAATCTGAATCAGATTATATGCAATTGAGCCAGAATACAGGAAGAGTTAAAAAGGGTGGATGGCTGGTGACTAGGGACACTAAATCTCTCCATCTAGGTCGTTCAGGTCTGCCTGCAGCCTGTAGTTTGTGTGACTATATACATATGTTATCTCTAGATGATGTAACTAGCCCAAATGAAGAGCCTCCTGTGACAGCCATGACTCTTCCAAGTCAGTCAAGGATTAACATGCACGCTATATCTTCACTAAAATTACTGGAATACAGGTACGTGTTTTGAAATTTTACCTATTTCTAAAGCCGTAAGAACGCTTTCCTATCTTTTTTTTGCCTTCTAAAAAAAAAATTTCCTTCATGATATATATCAAATTGTCTGCAAATCCTGCTGCATTTGTGCATTTTTTCACGCAGATTTGAATTGCAGTTTTAAAAAAATAATTTCTTTGTATTATCAAATATTCTACAGTAACATTCCTTTTAACTCACTGGAATGCTTGATACCTTCAGGTGCTTTTCGTACCTTTTAAACTTCTTTAACAATTAAGTCTCAAAACATCTTGTAGTAGGTGAGTATCTATCCAGTTATTTCTTAAATCTAACCAACAATGTAACTTGTTAGTTTGGGAGCGGGGAAGAAAACCCCATTTGCTGAAAACTGCCGGCTGAAATGCATAGTCCTGCTGCGGGCTGGAACGTGGAAAGGACCTCGCTGGTGAAAGGGCTGGGGTGGCTTTGGTCACCACAAACGTTCGGGAGCTCCAAACTGAGTAGTTACCCGAGTTACACATCGCTGTGCTGGGGATGTTTTCCGAGCTGAGAGGGGGAAATCTGTTTAATGCCAATCTTGCTATGCTTTCTGGCCCAGTATGCAGCATTCACACATTTGTTGAGGTGGTTACATAACTCAGCTCTTGCCCATTTTTCTTAAGCAAGAGAACAGATCAGGGTGCCAGGGTGGAATGATACTGCCACCCAGACGCTGTGTAGCATGGTGCAGTGATTGGTAGCTTTCTGATTAACAGTCCTTCCAGGACTGCAGATTGTAGCTATTTATATACCTATGCCACCACTCATCTTGCTAAAAAATAGGAAATTATTAACTTGTTTGTATTACTCAGCTAAATGCTTCTCATTGTTTAGTGAGAAACAGGCAGCTGTGATTCCTGATGAAATGTTCGATGCAGTCAGAAGCAATCCCGTCGCCACTGTCAACTTCAGCAAAAATCAGCTGAATGAAATTCCTCCAAGGTACTTTTGTGAAGGCCATTCTCTAGTTGTTACTTTCTTTTCTACTTTTGTTCCTCAGCATCTTGTGTTTTCCTAAATCAAGTATATTTACACTTCATGCTATGTATGTGTGTATACGCTCACACACGCAAATGAAAGTGTAATTGAGATGCTGAATAGATACTACACTTGCATTTCTCGTACGAGTAGCATGCAGGTGGGTTCATGGATTAGCATGAAGATGGCAGTAAAAAGAAGCTTGGCTGTACTCAATGGTGCTTTCATTACATGCTGTTTTTCATCTTGCTTTGCTAAGCGTTGTTGAAATGAATGAGGGGAGACTGATGTGACTTCTCATAATAATGAAGTGCTGTAGTTAACTACAGTGTAGTATTGTTTTCTGTACAAAGTGGTCTTTTTCCCTTAGGAAGATAATCTGTGGATTCACCACTTCACTGGGTGATAGCTTTGTACTACAGCTGAGGTTCTATTTAAATTCAGTTTCTTCAGATAGCATAACTTTGTGTGGTTTTTTTTTTTTTTAAGGATGCCTGAACAATTTTCACGCCTCTTCTCTTGATAGATTTTGTGTCCCATCACATAGCATTTGATATTATTGCACTTGTTACTTCATCCTCAGTCAAGGAAAAGCTTTCTGTTGACACCAATGGGAATAAATAGCCTTTTTGTGTAAGGAGGAAAGTTACTGCATCTCTGGTAGCCCAAGAAAATCACGAAAGCTGATTTTTAAGGATACCACCGCATTTGTGGGGGTAACTTATTTCCATTCCTGGACCCAAGTGTGCTGAACACTTAACCTTTAGCACATAGAACTTGAAAAGGTGCTATCTCTTTCTTGTAGGGA